GTACTCTGCAAATCTCCAGACTTGATGAGATCACCTGAAGACACTCTTATCGCCTCAAGTCCTTCATCCTCCAAACTCATTTTAACTGAATTCATTTCTGTCATGACATTTTCCTTTAAATTTATCGCTTCCCATTTAGTTGTATCAACAGGACAAAGGAGTTGACCAGGAGTTAACTTACAAGCTTTTGCTTGACCGTAGTACCCCCGGTATTTGCTTGTTACAATGTTTCTTAGTTTGAAGCTTGTGTCTGGCTGCCAATCCAGGCGACTCACTGCTAGCTTCCTCTTATTACTGTTCCATGGTAGAATCTTAATCTGTGCTTTTTCAAATTCCATTCGCTTTTTTTTCTCAACAAGCCAGGCTTCAAGTTTTTCTCTAATAAAGACAAAATATGGCACCAATCAATGTAAAGATTTTTATTATTTTCTTTTTAGTATGGTATCTATCAGTGATAATTCATTTTCCCTTTACCATGCTATATGTTTAGATATAAAAGTAGATTGTGTTAGTTCATTAAAACACAAAAGTACATGAAAATAAGCTTGTTATTGATTTGTCAGGCACTTTTGTATTCTTTACCATAAAAAAAGACAACAACAGCGCATATTTTAACACTTTTTTTTTAGTTTTCACAAAGTAACACAATCAATTTTCATTGTCTGTAATGTGAGTGACATACTATTAATGTCTAACAAACTTGAATACAGTATTAGTTAATATTCAAATACAATAGGTATATTGCCTACCTCATGGTTAGATCGGAGCTTGTCTCTTTGCGTTGAAGAACATCCTGTTGTTTTGACCGTAGAGCTAGTACAGACCTTTGTCCCTGTGCTGACCTATCCTCCTGTTTTGACCTTTTTTTCCTCCTTGAACTTGGAACACTTCTTGACATTTGACCTTTTTGTTGTGTTTTAAAACTAATCAATTCTTTGCCGCAAGGTAGCTTTTTCCTATCAGTCGGTTGCCTTCTGGTTTGTGGTGTCCTGTTTGTCTTCTGCATCCTCCATTGTTCCACTCTCGCCTCCATAATCTCTACAAATTTTAACCAGCTTCTTAATTTGTTATCATATTTTTTTTTTTTTATTAATGCATTGATTTAATGTAAGGACATACTTCTCACTTATGCTGTTTCACAATACAGTAGAACCCTTCCTTTGGGACACTCCTATAAGGAGAAGCATTTTTGGACCACAAAATGAAGGTAAGTACATAAAACACAGCCAAACCCTATTGATATTCAGGGGACAGCACCTTTATTGGACATCCTAGTAAGGGGACACTTTTATTTTGGATCTTCTTCTGTAGTACAATTCGAGGTGTTACGGTATTTCTAGCCTACACTACAGACGAACAGTCAGAGGTGGAGGACCTGGGAATGCCTTTTAAATCGAGGCTTTTCTATCGCGAGTGAGGTGGGACTATCCTACTAGTACTAGGCTAGGGGCCTAGGCCTACTACTACTACTACTACTAGGCTAACCCGCCTAGACTACTACTAGGCCTAGGCCTAGCCTAGCTTTCCTCCCTTCCTTCAACGAAAAAAAAAGGTTGGCTCAGCCTCAATGGAATGAAACCAACCAATAATTAATAAATTCAATTTGAATTTAATCCCTATTATATAAAATACATTACCATGTTGTTTTTGTGCGAGCATTCTTCACAACATAAACTTTGTCGGTCACATCCTCAAAAAATTCAAATCAAGGGGGCGGCTGGATTCGCAATCAATCATAGAGGGCGACAAATTTACTGGCGATTCTTTTACCATGTTTACAAACACTGATCTCGCTATAAATTACGAATTATGAAAAGTGTAGGCTGTGGCACCGATACCTCTGTCGATTAGTGCCCATAATTGTTTACAAAAACGTAATGCAATAATAGCATATTGACTACTATTGTATATTTACGGAAAATATTTCAGCCACTCCAAATCTCTTTGCCCATTCTTCCTTTCATTCTTTCACAATTTTGCACACTCACATATAGGCGTAGTCATTTTGTTTAGGCCTAGTCTAGGCTAGACCTCGGCTATGCCTATTACTATATTATTTAAATATACAATTTTAATAAATAAGATTAATTTTACATGGACATAGTAATTCATACTTAAACAATACTTTAAATTTAATGTGAATACAATAAATACGTTAACGAATAAATAACAATAATTAAAACGTGTACATATCACTACTACAATAAGATTAGGCCTAATATTTTTCAATCTTATAATCAATTTTATGTAGCCGTAGTTAGTATTCACATAGGCTACTATGGTTATCGACTACGCTTTCTCCAATATAAAGGCTTACTATGAATGGAATGACCTGTACGAAACACGAACTCCTGTAGACCAATCCGGTACCGTTACGATTTTTATCGTACGAAATATCCACAAGATACTATTATAGTTTAGTTTAGTTTTGTCTTTATTAACGTCACACTCTTATAATACCATAAGACCAGCCAATACTGGCTTATGAGTGACACATCTTAAAAAATACATGAAAAAAGCTTCAAGGGCTTATATTAGAGATCAGTGTTTATCCAATAACGTCCCAAATTGAATGAACTCATTTCTCTCAAATAACGTCCCATCCCGGAGAACCTCATTCTTTAGGAATAAGCGCTTCCGTCAAAATACCTATCCCCTTCCTCCAACACCCAAATGATGGCTGTATAACAATGAAAGCAACATCATTCTCAACACATTCCAGTAAATTACATTTTGTCGAACGAACATGTCCGGAATAAAAAGAAAAAAAAAAACAGGCTTGGGGGTTTAACTAGCCAGGGTAGTAGCCCAGCAACTATGTCCCGGGGGTCCAAGGGCGCGAAGGCCCAGAAAATGTGCGTTATTTTACGTGATAAAAGATAGAATCAAGAGGTTTCACCATGTTAATTTCTATAAAACCTCTAAGAAAACCAGCCTCAGGTTGTAAACAGAAAAATAATTTAAACGTGAGATTTCATTCTTCAGGTTCCACTACAAGTGTGATGATTTTATGACCGTGAGCCTCCACGAAGGCCTGTTTTCAAATAGGTTTTTAAAACAGGCATGTTGTTCTATTACCATACTGCGAGCATTTTCTTGGACGTGAGAAAGCGTACTACTATAGGCTTTACCTTATTATCTGCTCTTGTCCGTATCAAACTCGAGTCGAATCAATCCGAGACGACCCGAGTGGAGTTTCAAGCAAATGTTTCGTACGGACAAAAAACGCGTGCTACCTCCACCTCTTACCACACGGCCGCTTCACTATACACTACTTTTCCCTGCCTCGCTCTCGTCACACTCTCTTTCAGGTCGGTATTTCAATAATCCCATATGAACTCTTAAGGGCAAATGAATCAACGCTGAGGGAACTCTTAAACACAAAGGAACCGAAATGTGAAGCACAAAAGAACCAAAATGTGAATCAACGCTGACCGCACTGAATCAACGCTGGGGGCAGTATAATAAAACAGACATGTTAATCAACGCTGAGCGCACTATAACAACTTACGTATAGAGGTTTCCGCTATGTTAACTCTCACTTCGCACCCTATGCCTATATTATACTCTCCCCGGTGGCATTCTGCGTAAATCACCCTCCTACATTCATATCATTGTGACTTCCAAAACAACTGTCTTGTGGAAACGGTACGTTGCATTTCTTATGCTTCTTTCTTCTGCTCCTACGTAGCATTTTCATAGTGACAATATCACATTAATTTCAAATCAATTTTGTAACAATCATGCCTTTTATACTATTGTATTTTCAATTCTAACACACCACATTCTAATTTTCAGTTCAAATAATGACGCAAAACAAAGACATGGACTGTTGTATCTGCTTACAGACATTGGACCATCTACATTGCAAATGCCCAAGATGCAATCAGTTTGCCGATGTTCTGTGTATTACCAGATGGTTCGACACCAGAAAACGGGACGACACAAGTAGCACCTGCCCAGTTTGCAGATACGAGTATCTGGATTTTGAAGTTGAAACCTTACGTCAAAAACAACGCGCAATTAACATCAATTACAGTAGTCCTCCCCAAGATCCTAGTTGGGTCAATGAATTTGACTTCTATCGCTAAGGTAACTTATAATTTAACAGACATCATAATCTCAATGGAGAAAGGCATCATAGGCAAGATGACAACTATGTACCTGTAGGCCTGTGTCACAGAGAGGCATTAATAAAGATGATCAAACTTTTCTCAGCACACGACACCCAAACTGGAGTAAACTCAAAGTTGATCACAAACTTGGTAAACTCACTGTACAATGTTATGTTATCTAGTAGGCCTATTATTCTAATGATTTAAACCACAGGCGTAGGCCTACAGTAACTGTATTTATGTAATTTTTCAATGTTTCAACCAAGCACTTTTAATAGTGAAATGTCCTTGGTTTTGGTTTAACTCAGCAAGACCAATTTACAGAGATAAATCTACACCGACAGTGACGAAAGGAATATGCCTCAGGCACCTGACTAAAGCTAGGGCCCCACTGCAATACCCTGGGGAATTGGTAGTAGAGACCCAGTGAGGCGCGGGACGAACCTCTCGCTCAGCGTTTTTGACGTTTAAAGCCTGTTTTCCACTAGGCCAAGTTACTCGACAAATATAAAGCTTAGGTTCACGCGCACCACACTTCTACCGAACCAATCAGAGCTCAGGAACCTAATAGAGACTTCTGATTCATGCCTAGTGGAAAAACAGGCTGGACGTCTTTTTTTATTTTTCTTAAATACATTTTCTCCTTAATTAAAAGGCCCACTCGGCTAAATAAAAAATGCTCATGATATCTAAGGTCTGGGCCCATGGCTTAGCCATTGAGAGTCCACAGCTGTTCGTCACTTGTTTTGGATTTAGTCCGGTAGTTAGGCCTATGTTACTTTACAATTAAGTACATACTGTCTATGTTAGTTAGAACCGAGGGAAAAACACTATGAAAAGAGATATTTACTACATTATCTGTTTTACTTTACGTAATTATATTTCAAAGATATTATTTATTCTATGGAAAAATATTGCAAAAGAGAACTATCAAAACCAATTCCTTTTACAAGACAATACAGGTCTCCCTCCAATTAAAGACCACCCTCCAATGGCACTTTTCTGCAGTCCCAAAAAACAAATTTCTTTTACCCTCATTATTCCAATTACTTACCAAATCTTCTAAAGACCACGGTAATCACGGTTCCAAAAGTAGTCTTAAATTGGAGGGAAACCGGTATAGGCCTATCCGCATAAAAGGCTTACAGTACCTCATTCCCTATTGTCGATAGCATCATTATTAAATTTCCGTGCTAGCATTAATACACCTGTGACCTGGTATAACCCCGGTTCCAAAAGTAGTCTGTGATTGCAGTGAGACCTGTACATAGGCCTAGGCTAGGCCCTTCCGCATTTAGGCTTACTGTACCTCACCATCATCACCAATATTCCCCACTGTCGATTATTGTATGTATTTCAATGCTAGCATTAATAATACACCTGTGACCTGGTATCTTAGACTTCTTTAGCATAAACCATAATATATTCCGTTCTATCCTGGCTATCGTTATCAAAATACGATTTCGTAGCTGCTTCTTCGTCCGTGTAACCACTGATTACAAACATTGTCGAAATTTATAAGTTTTAATTAGGTATTTTCCAATTTTTAAATCGGTCTTCCGGTTTTGTCTCTTCCGTGTTGGCATGGACTTGACTAGTATCATAGAGATATAATAATAATAGCTCTATGACTAGTATACTCTCTTTTGTTACAGCGCCTAATAGAAGCAATGCAAATGGCTTTCAAAACAATAACCCCAAAATACAATCTATAGCGACTAGCCCAAAGGTGTAAATTAAACAACCATCTAGTAACCACAAATATCTCCCACAATGTATGTATTTTATATATTACTGTATTTATATTGTACCGAACTCGCGCGAATAAGCGCGCACCCGTGCTCTTAAAATATGTTTTGCACTTTTTGAGGGGCGCTTATTCAAACTGAGCGTTTATGAAAACAAAATGTAAAATGAGGGGGCGCTTATGGAAATATACGAAAATTGAGGGGTTCTTGTGGGAACTTTAGAAAAGGGGCGCTTTTTGAATGAAAAAAAAGATTGAAATATGGAAACCGAAGATTACGAAGTTCTCGTTCAGAAAAGATAATCGTCCAGATAAGAGCATGGCTCATCAGAATGCTTGAACAGCAGATGAAATTAGTGGTGGAGGTTCAAAGTTTGTAGGCCATCTGCCGATTGAGATTAATAGGATCATTGCAGGGCTTTTTGTAAACTCAGGTGAGAACGTGCTGAAGGTGCAAATTGTTGGCAAAAGAAAAAGAGACGTAGGACTTGACAAATGTAAGAAGAGGAAAGTTGCAAAGATACTGTCCAGGAGAACTTAATATCCTCATTTTGAAATTGAAATAAGAAGAAAATGCGAATCCACTCCGCAGATCAAATCATGCTAAACGCAGTCCCATGATTGATTGGATTGGCTTGCTAAAAAAAATGACATATTGTTTTTAAAAAAAAACAATTAAATTTATTCGGGGGGCGCTTATTCAAACGGGGCGATTATTCGCGCGAGTACGGTATATGTATTTTTTATTAGAAGGATGGTGTTGGTAAATGAGAATAACAATAAGCCTATTACAATGTGTAATATCTGTCTCTTATACACATAGTCAAGATGTGTATAAGAGACAGGTCCTGTCCTCAGGACTTTCTCAATGTCTATATTTACTAGAAGAAATTAATGCCTCCGACGGGATTCGAACCTGCGACCGCTCGCTGACAAGGCGAGCGTCATAACCACTAGACCACGAAGGCTTCATGGTTGAACAGGGCAGGTCCAAATAACCGTCGGGAACATTGTATTACACAATGGTGCGCCTCAAGAGGGCGTTCGGCCAGATACATTATCTGGAGAAACGGCTAGAAATAAATACTGTCGTACCATATTGTATATGATATTGAAGGAAGTTAGCCGTTAACACTGCTGAATAAATATAATATAAATCATCAAAGGTACATATACAGTGTTAAATACTGACATGATGGAACATCGTAGGCTACCCTGTAGCTTTTCAACGAATAAAGTCCTATAAAACTC